ATCATATTAATAAAAGTAAGAATCACATGATCATTTCTATAGATGCAGGAAAAGCTTTTGATAAGGTCCAACATTCATTTATGATAAGAACCTTACAGAAAATTGGAAGAGATGGTCTTTACCTCAACATAATAAAGGCCATCTATGACAAACCAACAGCCAGTATCATACTAAATGGCCAAATATTGAAGGTCTTTACTTTAAAATCAGGCACAAGACAAGGATGTCCCTTATCATCGCTATTTAATGTAGTACTGGAAATACTAGCCAGAGCAATTAGACAAAAGAGAGAAATAAAAGGGGTAAATTTAGGAAAAGAAGTTAAATTATCATTATTTGCAGATGACACGATACTCTACATATAAGACCCCCAAAACTCCATTGAAAGACTCTGAGATATAAATAAATTCAGCAAGGTAGCTGGATACAAAATCAATACTCAAAAATCAATAGCATTCCTATACACTAACAACAAAATCACAGAGAGAGAAATAAGAGAAGTCACACCCTTCACACTAGCAACCAAAAAAATGAAATATTTAGGAATTACTCTCCTGAAAGGAGTGGAAGACCTATACAAGGAAAATTATAATACACTGAAAAAAGAAATTTAAGATGATCTCAGAAAGTGTAAAGACATGCCTTTCTCATGGATAGGAAGAATAAATATTATGAAAATGGCCATCCTCCGAAAAATGTTATACAGATTCAATGCAATCCCAATAAAAATACCAACAACATACCTCATAGATCTAGACAAATCACCCCTAAAATTCATCTGGAGCGAGAAGAGACCTAGAATAGCAAAGAGAGTTCTAAGCAACACAGGCAAAGCAGGAGGCATCACAATGCCTGACTTGAAGTTATACTACAAAGCAACCATAGTAAAATCAACTTGGTACTAGACCCAAAATAGAGATGAAGATCAATGGAATAGATTAGAAGATTCAACCACAACTACAAACACACTCAACCACCTTAATTTTGATAAAGGGGCCACGCATGTTCACTAGAAGAAGGACAGTCTCTTTAATAAATAGTGTTGGAAAAACTGGCTCTCCATATGCCGAAAATTAAAACTAGACCCATGCCTATCACCGGGTACTAAATTAAAATATAAATGGATCAAAGATCTGAATATTAAAACAGAAACACTAAATCTATTGGAAGACAAATTGGGTAGAAACCTTGAAGACATAGGGGTAGGTAGAGAATTCATGAACAGGACTCAAACTGCATGGGAAATACTTCCCAGAATCAATAACTGGGATCCCGTCTTATTAAAAAGTTTCTGCATGTCAAAAGAAATCTCCAGCATAGTGAAAAGAAAACCCACAAACTGGGAAAAAATCTTAGTGAACTCTCCCTCAGACAAAGGACTTCTGTCTAAAACATATAAAGAATTTTTAAAAATCAGACCCCCAAAATTCAAAGATCCAATCCAAAAATGGGCATCTGAGATGAATACACACTTCTCAGATGAAGAAATACAAATGGCAAATAGATACATGAAAAAATGTTCATCATCATTACTCATTAGAGAAATGCAAATTAAAACCACACTGAGATTCCATCTCCTGAAATAATGGCCAAGATCAAGAAAACCACCAACAACAAATGCTGGAGAGGCTGTGGGGAAAAGGAACTCTCCTGCACTGTTGGTGGGAGTGTAGACTGGTGCAACCATTGTAGAGGTCAGTCTGGAGATTTCTCATAAAGCTGGGATTGGAAGTCCCATTTCTTCCAGCTATTCCACTTCTAGGCATATTCCCAAAAGAACTAAAAGCATCATACCACAGTGATATATGTGCACTCATGTTTATGGCAGCGTAGTTTGTAATAGCCAGATCTTGGAAACAACCTAAGTGTCCATCAACTGAGGAATGGATAAAAAAGTTGTGGTATTTTTATACAATGGAGTACTACTCAGCTATAAAGAATGATAACATTGGGATATTTATAAATAAATGGGCGCAGCTTGAGACCATACTCATAAGTGAAGTAAATCAAACCCACATCTATAAATACCAAAGTTTCCCCAGTGTAAGAAGTGATAACAATACATAAAAGTATGTGGTAATCAGGATTCCCCATTATATTGCTTTGAAACCTTATAATGTTTTCATTCATTAATTATAATAGTTTTATTCTGGGCTGTTTGATTTTATTGTCTGTGATGGTATGAACAGCTATTTTGGAGAACACAAGACATCATAATAGCTAGTGCTGATTTAATATCATCTTGTTTTGAAGTCCCATCAAGCTTTTGTTCTGTCTCCATCAGTCTTAACATGTTGTATCTTATTGGATTTTATTATATGTGATAATATAAACAAAAACTTTTATAGACAGTGAGATAATATAGAAATGATTGTTTGTTTTCTGTTAGTTGGTTCTAAATACCCTGTAATACTGTCATTCTCTTGAATGGTTTTACATTGTCTTGATATGTTTAATGCTACAGTATACGAAGCTATACTCAAAGATTTCAAGGAAAGAGACACTATGGTAACTACTTTTATGTCGGGGTATCTTGTGGTGAAACACTATGTTGCTTAAATTGTTATGTTCTGACCTGTGCTGTCTTATTGTTATGTCCTCTTTTATCTCAGTTTCCTTTATTTATTTATTTTTATCTTTTTAATTAAGGGGAAAATAGCAGGATATATTATAGTAACCCACTTGGAATTCCTATTAATTTGATTTGAAACCCTGTATTTCTGTAACCATCTTGTTTTCACTGATTTTACTCTGTTCTGTTTTGCTTGATAATACCATGTTTGGAGTATAGGCAACTTTGAAGACAGTAAGATTCACTGTGATGCCCATTCTAGTTTGACTATTATCTTCTTTTGAAGTCCTATAATGTCTCCAATGTTTTGGTTTTATTGGTTTTGTTCTGTACTGTTCTGTTCAATTTTATTATAACTGATGATATAGGCAATTCTTTTTAAGATAGCGAGAGGCATAATTGTAACCATTGTTCATCACCTTGTATTCTGTTTTTACATTATGTACTATGTCCATCCTTTTGATTTGACTGACTCTATTTTGTTATGTCACATTTGGTTTCATTCTCTTGCAAAAAAAGTAGTAAGAACTGTGGGATTCATAAAACCCAAAATGTGTAACTGTCATTGTAAAAGAGAGGAAAAGAAGGTGCTCTAAAGGATATAACTGCATGTATAGTTAAGCGCATAAGATAGATAACCATATTACTGAATTTTTGTTGGATCATTGAACAGAACTGTTTGCAGTCTCACTGTTTGAATGTCCACTTTATATGCTTTAATGTTGTAACTTGAACAACTATTTCTAAGATGACAATATGTAATCTATTAACTAGTGGTTTCCTACTATTTAGTTCTTTTTGGAAATTCTGCATTACTTGTATCCTTTTTCTGTTTTTTTTTTTTTTCTCCTTAAATAAAGTGTTGGTTAAGGTCTTTACTTCAGTTTGGGTATTACTCGATCCCACAGCCAAGTGGTGGTCACACTACTCTTTAAATCTGTCAAAAATTTATACAACTGGACATTGAAGATGGTTGACTTCCTTTTTTTGTCTTTTTCCTTTTTATCGGTACTGGGGATCGAACTCACGACTGCCTGCTTGCAAGGCTGGCACTTATGCCGCTGAGCTAAATCCCCAGCCCCTGATTTTCTTATATATAAATCATAGCTCAAAGGTGAATTTTAAAGATAGAGCATACTAAAAACAATTTTCAATTTTCTGTGAAAAGATAATGTATCATCTCAAAGTATCTCCTCCGTGTTGCTTATTAATTAGTATTATGAGTTTTGCTTTAAATATACCCCAAAAACTCATTGCTGAATTATTGGTTTTCCATGCAGCAAATTTCTGAGGTAGGACTTCCGGAAAGATTGTATCATGAGGGCTATGAACTCAGGATGTGATTAATTCATTCATGTTTCCAGAGACTGTATTTCCAAGGAAAACATCTGTTATTAAAGATCTCTGTCTCCCTCATCTCCTTTCTCTGTTTTCCTCTTCTTCTCCTTCCCATCATCTTTATCTCTCCTCCTCAAGCATGATAAAGTCATTAACTATTATTATACCATGTGCACCATAGTTATTAACTATCATTTGGCATGTGCACAATAGAGTTATTAACTATTATTTACCATGTGCTCATGCCATGAATTTCTGGCTCTCCATAGGTCCAAATGCAAAGAATCCAGCACACCATCGACTAAAACCTGTCAAAACCGTCTCCTACTTTTAACTCATTTGTCTCAGAAATTTTGTCACAATGTGACAAATGTGACTAATACATAATTTGGTATTAGGTATGTTCTGTTGTTGGCTACACTCAATGTCGTGATATGGATGCATTTAGAATGCATTCACAGGTTGACATTGGACATGTTTGGAGAAGCAAGCTAGAGTTTACTGAACTCTAATAAGCAGAGTTTTAATAAGCAGAGTTTAATAATCAATTCTCTCATAAGACCACAGTCAGAGAGAAATATGGGCTTAAAGATTATGTTATTGTAGTCTTAGATTTGTTGAGGCCCAACACTGAGAAGTGCAAACATCCCAATTTTACACAATTGCCCCAAAAGTTAAATGGAAAAACTAATAATGCAGTGCAAAAACAGTTCATTCAGTGTAATTACACTGGGAAAAAGCAGGAAATCCAGGCATCCCCAGTTCTGTTTTCAGAGTGCTAACAAGAACTCCAAGATATATGACAAAGGATGATCAAGGAAATCCATAGTCAGGCAGCCATGGTGAAACTGTGGAGTAGTTGATCATTGTTTCAGGAGCAGCATTCAGAGCCTTTTCAGCCTTCAAAAAAAAAAAAAAGAAACTTCTGCCTATGAGGCATTTCAGATTCTTTCCCAGGAGGTTGATGAATCAGATCTGCTGTTAAAAAGAGTATGCGTAAAAGAATGATTCATAGAAAAGATGATTCAGATGGTATCGTGGTTTCTGTCTGAAGTCCCCACAAAACCTCATGCAGTGTTGAATGGTGCTGTTTGGGAGGTGGCTGAACCTAGAATATGTGACTAATTCGTAGTACAACACAGGGATCAAGCATGCTGGGATTAGAAGTGGCAATCAGTCCATTGATTGGATTGGCACTGCCCTAATCCCAGAATACTGGAGACAATGTAAGGGGAAGAAAGGGCTATTTTTCCCTTCCTTACTTGCTCTTACTCCCTTATGGTGCCATGAACTGTTTGGCATCTGGGATGCCAGTCTACCAAGCCACTCTGCCTTGGAGCCAGAAGATTATGGACTGAAACTTCTACAGACTGGGAGCCAAATAAACCTTTCCCCTTTAACTTTGGCTGTCAGGTATTCTGTCTCAGCAGTGAGAAAAATAACTGACACATACGGACAGAACAGAGATTGTTCCTTCAGGTTTTGGTAAAGGACAAGACTTCCCAGCATCAAACATGGATCTCTCCTCATGAAGATTCAGATGGAAATGAGGACTCTATTAGAAACTGAACTACAGATTATTCCTTTATATTCTGGAAAAGAAATTGTCTAAATTTTTTTCCAAGCCTAAACACTTTGTGAAAACCTCAGCTGACAGGTGATTGGATAATTAACCTGGTAGAAGAAATTTTAATATAACAAAGCATTCAAACTGTGTCACACGTATTACTGTTCAATTTTTAGACATATTTACAGTGAGCAGAGTGGAAAGACTTAAAAGCCTTGCAGTTTTGCCAGAAATGGAAGAGTTTTAAAGTTGTAATAAAAGAAAGTGTGGTTGTTCAAGATATTTGCACCACTAAAGAGAAGCTCAATACATTGCTCCAAGATGATTGCAGAGGTCCTGAGGGAACCATTGCTGGGAAAATGGACTTCAGCCAATTAAAGATGCAGGCAGTGACCAGAACGAGGACATGTGTGCTGTAACCAGCCAGGCCACAAAGCAAGGCTGCCTGAATCTCTGGGGCTCATATCACAACAACATGTGCCCGAAGTTATATCCATGCAGATTTATGAATTAACATTTACTCAGCTTGGTTTTTAGAGGTTGTTTTTGTTTTTGGGGGTTTTGTGGTTATTGTTTGGTTGGTTTGGTTTGGTTTAGTTTTTAGCTTTGGTTTTGTTTTTTGTTTCTGTTTTTGTGGTATGTGTGCACACTTTTCCTTTCCATAGTCTTATTTCCTCCTTTTGGTACACAAATGCAAACACTCTGCTACTGTATCTTGTTGTCAAACTTTCTTTTTGGTATTGTGCATACTTTAAGCTCAGTGAGAGGTTTCAGCTTGAGAAGACACCTTCAGCTTTGTCCTCTGAACAATCCTGGAGCTTTTCAGTCTTTGGGGGATTGATGAATATGAACAGAATGTAATTCATATCTTGCCATAGGCATGTGAATTTGGGCCCACTGTTGGTATGTTATTGTTCAGTTTTTTAAATGTCATCCACAAGCTATCCTGGTTGTGTACTCCTCTGTATGAGGAGTCTTCAAAAAATAAAAACTGGAAATTCCATTTGATCCTGTTCTTCTGCTTCTACATATCTTCCTAAAAGAGTTAAAGGTATCAGAGTGCACTGATACATGCACACCCATGCTTAGCAGCACAACTCTATACAGCCAAATCCTGGAAATAGCCCATATGATTCTCAACAGAAGAATGGATAAAAATGAATGTACCTCAAGACCATAATCTTGAGTGCAGTAAATCAAACTGCACATTAAATATTACATTGTTTTTCTTAGAGAAGAAACCCAAAGCATAAAGAACAAAAAAGAGACACATTAGGAAGTGAATATTCTAGCAAAGACAGTAACAATTCCAAACTCCCTGACCTGTTAATAAAAGCGTACTATGAGCTTTCCTCTTCCCACCCTGGCCTGTACCATTGCAATTGAAAAGACACAAAATGGTGCAAAACAGAAAACGTTGTGCAGTTCCTTGGAAGAGACTGAGCCCATCCTCAAGATCCCCTTCAATGGAGTGAGACAGGCCAGCTAAAAGTCCACGTCCAGTCAGGGCCTGACCTCAGCCTCTCTGGATGTTGACCCTCAGGGAAACTCAGATTCACCATTAGTCAGTGAAGAAGTACTGGTGGCTGTGGGGAGGCACATGTGACATCACTCACTGCATGGGTTGGAGATTAAGCATCCCCATCAAAATTTTGGTCCCTAGCATGGTTTTATTTTTTTTTATTTTATTTAAAAGGAAAAAGAGAAAAACACAGAACAGAACAAAGTGGTGTAAGGGTACACGTAATACAGAACTACAAAAAAAAAGACAGTAAGAAATCACCAGTTAATAGATTACATATTATCATCTTAGAAATAGTTGCTCAAATCACAGTATCAAAGAATACAAAGTGGACATTCAAACAGTGAGACTGCAAACAGTTGTGTTCAATGATCCAACCAAAAACATTAATATGGTCAGCTATTTAACACCCCTAAACACACTTGCTGTTGTATCCTTTAGAGTTCTTTTTTTACCTCTCTTTTTTACAACAAAATTTACACATTTTGGGTTTTATTACTCCTTAGTTCTTATTACTTTTTTTGGGGGGGGGAGAGAATAAAGTCAAATATGGCAAAACAAAGCTGTCAGTCAAAACCAAGGATAGACATAGCACATGATGTAAAACAGAGTACAAAGTTATCAACAATGGTTATCAACAATGTCTCTTGTTTCCTTAAAAAGAATTGTCTATCTCATTAGATATTATAAAGTTGAACAAAACAGTAGAGAACAAGACCTATAAAACCTAGGTATTGTAAACATTACAGGACTTCCAAAGGAGACAATAGTCAAACCAGAATGGACATCTTAGTGAATCTTATTGCCTTCAAAGTAGTTGCCTATACCCTCACACTTAAAACTATCATACAGAATGGAACAGAGTCTAATCAGTCAAAACAAGATCGTGGGAGTATTACAGGACTTCAAAACAAGTTAATAGGAAATCAAAAAAAGTTACTATTATACCTCCTGCTAATTTTTTTAATTTTTCCCCTTAATTAAAACAAACATAAGAAATAACTAAATAATTTTTTTAAAGAATAAGGGAGAGATTGAGATAAAACAGGACATAACAACATAACAATACAGGTGAAAGCATGACTGTTTCAGCAGCCTAGTGCTTCACCACCAAATAACCGACTTAATAGTAGTTACCATAGTGTCTGTCTTTTTCCTTGAAATATTTGAATAAAACTTCATATACTATAGCTTCAAATATTTCCATATCAAGAAGCCCAGAATAAAGCCTTTCCAATTAATAAGTGAAAACTTTATAAGGCTTCAAGGCCACCTAATGGGGAATCATGATTACCACATATTTTTATATATTTGAATCATTACTTACATTAGGGAAACTATTCGGTATTCACACATGTGAGATTGATTTATTTCACTTATGAGTATGGTCTCAAACTGCGCCCATTTATTGATAAATAGCTCAATGTGATCCTTCTTTATAGCTGAATAATACTCCATTGTATAGAAATACCACAACTTTTTTATCCATTCCTCAGTTGATGGACACTTGGGTTGTTTCCAAGATCTGGCGATTACAAATTGTGCTGCTATAAACATAGGTGCACATATATCACTGTGGTATGATGCTTTCAGTTCTTCTGGGAATATGCCTAGAAGTGGAATAGCTGGAATAAATGGGATTTCCAATCCCAACTTTTTGAGAAATCTCCAGACTGGCCTCCACAAAGGCTGTACCAGTCTACACTCCCACCAGCAGTGCAGGAGAGTTCCTTTTTCCCCACAGCCTCTCCAGCATTTGTTGTTGTTGGTTTTCTTGATCCTGGCCATTCTTTCAGGAGTGAGATGGTATCTCAGTGTGGTTTTAATTTGCATTTCTCTAATGACCAATGATGATGAGCATTTTTTAATGTATTTATTTGCCATTTGCATTTCTTCATCTGAGAAGTGCGTATTCATCTCAGATGCCCATTTTTGGATTGGATCTTTGAATTTTGGGGGTATGAGTTTTTTTAATTCTTTATATGTTTTAGACAAGAGTCCCTTGTCTGAGAAAGAGTTCACTAAAATCTTTTCCCAGTTTGTGGGTTTTCTTTTCACTATGCTGGAGATTTCTTTTGACATGCAGAAACTTTTTAATAAGATGTGGTCCCAGTTATTGATTCTGGGAAGTATTTCCGTGTGGTTTGAGTCCTGTTCATGAATTCTCTACCTACTCCTATGTCTTCAAGGTTTCTACCCAATTTGTCTTCCAATAGATTTAGTGTTTCTGTTTTAATATTCAGATCTTTGACCCATTTAGATCCTAGCATGGTTTTATAGGAGGTGGTACAATCTTTAGGATGTGAGACCTGGTGGAAGGTATTGGAGGCCTGTGTTTTAAGAGGACTCTTTCACAGTACTAGTCTTTTTCTTTCACTTCCTGGCCTCAGGGTGAGCATTTACTCCACCATGCGCTTCAGTCACAATATGTAGCTACACAACAGGCTCAAAGAAACAAGGCCAATTGAAATCTCCAACACTCTGAGGCCAAGTACATCTTTTCCCACATAATCAATTTATCTTTGTTATATCATACAATGAAGGGAAGTTGATTACTGCATATGGATAAGGTTGAGGTCCATGCAGTCCTATTAGACATGTGTCAGAACAACCAAGTCAGAAGCATGGAACAGTATAATGGGTAAACATGAGACAGGCAAGAAGCACTGGACACTCATTTTTCTTCCTGCCTTCTACACAAGTGGTTTGTGTTGGACTGTTTGCTGCAGTACCCCCTTGTGACAGTACATTCTTCCGTGAGGTGATGCTGGACAACTACTATTTTAATAAATTAGGGGGGTTTTGATCCTCTTCCCCAGCCATGCAAAATGGAGCAGATAATTTTTCAACTGTCACTGGTTGGTGTCAGGGACACTGGCTTTTGCAGCTCTTGCTCATGCACTAGACAGGAGGTTAGAGTCTGCTCACAGGGATCAGGGCAGCAGGCAGTGACCCAGCAGACCAGGTATGGGAGACAACTCTGGGATCATCGTCCTTGAGCTGAAGCACTTGTGCTGTAGAGTCTCAGATTCTGCTTTAATTATGATAAAAGATTGATTATACAATACTAAAAATCATTGTGAAAGTTTCAGGGGGAAAAGTATGATGATGTTGGAAAATTATATTGACAAATCATTCAATAAAATGAGAAAATGGAGTTTGAAAATCATTACACAAAAAAAAAATGTAAAAAAGTAAAGAAGTTATTGTAAAATAATGATTGAAAGGATTTTGCCCTAAATGAGATGCTGCAGTGCTGGGAAGCAAAAGGTCATCTTTCCCACCCGTAAGCAATTTACCTGTGGCATGAAATGAATTCCAATGAGCTACTTGTGCATCAGTAATGCCCCTGAGGCTCCACCCCAAACCTAAGCTACATGTATGCCCCTACACCACATGTCTGGCAGAGAGAAAGCCCCAGAGGTCATGGAGTCTCTGTCCGCATTCTTAAAATAAAGGCCACTTTTATCTCATATTCCTATCTTTTTAGTCATGTCAAAAATTCTATCAATGATTGGTTAATACTAGCACTACAAATAAGTTTGGGGGTTTTGTGTGCATTCAAATAGTTCTATAATGAATATGGTTTTTGCACATACTACAACATGTCATTTAAATTCTTTAAAAATTCAGAAATGGTTTTTTACAGGTATAAACAGGAAATGGCTGAAACGATAACAATTCTAGTTCAAGGTCAGAGTGCAAGGAATTCTGATTTTAACCTACAATATCAGGTCCACCAAACCAATCTTAAAAAGAGTGCTAAAAGACATACTACACAGAGAGAAAAATCACAATTCCCGGAACCACAACAGAAAGAAATCACCGGGCAGAGGAAGCAATTAAATAATAAAGAAAAGTGGGGAACTAACAGTAGGAAAATAACATGACACAGTTAAGCCAGTACATAGCAGCTATACCCATCAATGTGAATGGCCTCAATTCATCAGTGAAAAGAAACAGATTGAAAGAATAAATAAACAGGATCCAACAATGCTGTATACAAGAAAAACATCTGACTCAAAAAGAAACTCATAGACTGAAAGTCAAAGAGTGGCAAATAATATTCCATGTGACAGGAACCTAGAAAAAAACACAGGTAGCTATTCTTTTTACAGACAATTTGAACTTCAAACAAAAATTGATCAAAAGAGATAAAGAAGATCACTACATACTTGCTAGGGGAAAAATTCAAGAGGAAGTGGTAACAATCATAAATAACACATGAACCAAATACAGGAGCACCCAACTATATAAAACAAATAATAATAGATATGAAAAGTCAAATATGCAACAACAAAATTGTACTGGGAGACCTTACTACCCTTTTGTCACCAAGAGATAGATCAACTAGACAAAAATGAGCAAAGCAATAACAGAACTGAATCAAACTTGTGAACAAATGGACATATTAGATGTTTACAGAGTGTTCCACCCAACATTAAAATACGCATTCTTCTCAGCTGGACATGGGACATTCTTTAAAATAGACCATATACTGGCCTATAGAACATGCTTAAGTAAATGCAAAGGGACTGAACTTACCCCATGCATATTATCTGACCATAGTGCACTGAAATTGGAAATTTAATGGCAAGAGAAACTGCAAAATCTACATAAACACAAGGAAATTAAATAACACCCTCCTGAACAACCAATGGGTTATGAATGAAATTAAACAATATCTGCAATTAAAATAAATATCTAAATAAAAATAAAAATATAACACACTGGAACTTGTGAGACACAATGAAAGCAGTCATAAGAGGGAAATATATACCAACGAATTGCCACATCAGGAAACAGAATGAGCACAAATAAACAACTTACTGCTGCTCCTCAAGCAAGTCAAGATGAAAGCTCATAGAAGAGAGGAAATTATAAAGATCAGAACAGAAATTAACACAACTGAGACTAGGAAAACAATACAAAGAATTAATGAATTGAAGAGATTGTTCTTTGAAAGATAAACAACATTGATAAACCCCTAGCCAAAATTATCAAGAAAAGGAGAGAAAAAAACACAAATTCATACAATGAAGAATGAAAAGGGTGAAATTACTACAAATCCTGTAGAAACTCAGTAGTTTATCAACACTTACACTGAAAGCTGCACTTGCATAGGCTGGAAAACAGGAAATGGACAGATTCCTAGAAACATATGAATTACCAAAGTTGAATCAAGAAGACATAAAGTTTTGAGTACCCCAGTGTCAGTTTTTGGTATTCAAAACATACTTAAAAACTTACCAATGAAGAAAAACCACAAGTCCTGATGGATTCACAGCTGAATTCTACAAGAAATTTAGAGATTTACAGCAATATGCCTCAAATTCTTTAATGAAATTGAAAGGGAAGCAATTCTCCCTAACTCACTCCTGGAAACAAGTATCACTCTGTTCTTTACCTCAATCTGATAAAAACCATCTATGACAAACCAACAGGCAACATCATACTATACGGACAAAAACTGAAAGCTTTCATTCTAAAATCAGGAATAAGACAAGGATGTTCACTATCACCACTCCTATTCCATATAGTTAGGGAAATGTTAGCCAGAACAATTAGACATGAGAGAGAAATGAAAGGAATGAGGATAGGAAAAAAAGAAGTCAAATTATAATTATTTGCAGATGGCATAATACTTTACCTAGAAGACTCCAAAAGCTCCTTCAAAAACTACCAGAGTTAATAAGCAAATTCAGCAGTATAGCAGGATACAAAGTCAACACTCAAAAATCAATAGCATTCCTGTACACAAACAACAGACTCACTGGGAGAGAAATTATGGAAATAACACCTTTAAAATAGAATCCCCAAAAACGAAATACTTAGGAACCAATCTAACAAAGGATATAAAAGATCTACACATTGAAAACTGTAGCACTTGGGGCTGAGGATTTAGCTCAGCGGCATAAGTGCCTACCTTGCAAGCAGGCAGTCATGAGTTCGATTCGTGGTACCAATTAAAAAAAAAAAGACGAAAACTGTAGCATTCAAAAACATGGGGAATTGAAGAGGATATCACAAAATGGAAAGATATCCCTTACTCCTGGATAGAAAGAACTAACATAGTGAAAATGGCCATACTCCCAAAATTGTTATACAGATTTAATGCAATCCTGATCAAAATACCATTAACATACTTCACAGATATAGAGAAAACAATCCTAAATTTCCTTTAGAAACAGAAGAGATGTAGAATAGCAAAGACAATCTTGGACAACAAAGGCAAGACAAGAAGCATCACAAACCCTGACTTAAAATTACACTACAGAGCTACGGTGATAAAATCAGCATGGTACCAGCAAAAAAAAATTGACCTGAAGATCAACTGAACAGAATATAAAATGTAACTGTAGCTACAAGACACTCAGCTACCTTGTCTTTGACAAAGGGTCTAACATATTCAATGGAAGAAAGACAGCATCTTTAATAAATGATCTTGGAAACATTAGCTTTCTACATGCTGAAAACTTACACTGGAGCCATTTCTATCACCATGAACTAAACTAAAGTCAAAATGGATCAAAAATCTAAATATTAAAATAGAAACACTAACCCTACTGGAAGACAAGGTAGGTAGAAATCTTAAAAGACATAGGAGTTGGCAAAGAGTTCGTGAACAAAAATGCAAGCACGAGAAGTACTTCAAAGAATCAGCAAGTGGGATCTCATCTTATTAAAAAAGTTTTTGCACTTCAAAAGAAATCACCAACAGAGCGAAAAGTAAACCCACAGAATGGGAAAGAATTTTAGCCAACTGTCTCTTAGACAAAGGACTTACATTTAGAATACATAAAGAATTTAAAAACATCAGGCTCCCCAAATGCAAGACCCAATCCAAAAACGGGTGTCTGAGATGGACACACACTTCTCAAATGAAGAAATACAAATGGCAAATAAATATATGAAGAAATGTTCAACAAAACTGGTCATTCAAGACATGCAAATTAAAGCAACATTGAACCATCATACCACAGTAGTATATGTGAACCTGTATTTATAGCAGCACAATTTGTAATAGATAAATAATGAATATCATCAGTGGAATGGATAAAAAAGTGGCATTTTTACACAAAGGAGTATTAATCAGCTATAAAAGACAAGCTTGAGGCTTTTATGGATAACTTGAGGCCATACTCAAGTGAAAAAAGTCAAACTCACATGTGTTAATATCCTATTTCCTCCTGAGGGTAAAAAAACCAAAAGAGTAATAAGATACAAAATGTACAGTGGATATTGTGAACTGGAAGGGAAAGAAAGTGCTCAAAAGAAAAGAGCAACTGGGATAGGCAAAAAAAGAAAAGAAAAAAGGGAAAAGACTGTACGTACATAGGTAAACAAACATGCATATGCGTATCTATGTATACATCCATATACACAAGATGGATAAGTATACTACTAATCTGTTAATTTATAAAAAATAACAATTTGAGCTTTCATTGTCTGATTGAACATTTTTATGCCTAAATCTTGTTACCTAAACAAATACTTCAATGCTAATAATATGCAATGTATTACCTAGTGTTAATTTCCTACCATTTTTTTGAAAGTCTGCATAATTTCTATCCTTTTGTTTGCTTTTAAAATATACTGCAATCATGACAGCATGATATTCCATAGTATATACCTAACACTGTTTCTGTATGATTTCATCAGTTGATAGGTGACTATGTTTATTATATATCTTAATTATTATGAATAATGCTGAGATAATTATGAGAGTGGGTACCTCTTTAATATCCTGGGTCATTCCTTTGTACAGTAATATATCCAGGTGTAGGATTATTGGATGGAACAACACTTCCATATTTAGTTTTATGAAGAACCTCCATACTGCTTACAATAAATAACTCTGTTCTTGTTGTACAAGAATGAAAGCTTCCTTTATGTATCAGGAACTAGAATTTTAGAAGAGTTTTAGCAAGTTCAAATGGTTTGAAATAGGTGGTTAACAAGAGACCTGGGCTGTAGGGCAGGTCTCTCTTAAACCCTACTAGATGCTCTGTAATGCCAGACATCAATTGCAGTGTTCAAAACCTCAGCCATGGCCTTGAGAGGGGTACAGCAGATTCCCATTTTGATATTCTTATGACTTCACTAAATAAACTTCAAATGTGGTAGGGATGTCTGAAATTCTGGAGAGGTTATTTCATTATGGGTAAAATTAATTAAACATCTTTCATGTGATTAGGAATCTTCCTATGTCAGGGTAAATACTTGGTGAATACATCTTCCATTCTTTCTCCTCTCAGGTCAATGATAAAGATATATTGGGAATGGGAACAGGGTAGAACCATAAGTGGGATGGAGATCTGATAGATAAGCTACTCATGCATCATCTGAAACCATAGTCTCGGGTTGATAATCTATATATTCTTGGCCAGAGATCCTTCATAGTGTTGTTGAATACGTGGTGACTTCTTGTGCATAAATGCTCAGTGTGACAGCTCCAAGGGGCTTCTGCCTGAAAGAAGTCTTTTTTGTTGCAAGGCAGGTAACTGAGTTGAGATGCAGCTCAGTGGCAGAGCTCCTGACTGAAAATGGCAGATAAGTCATTCATATAGAGGGTCAAGAAAGGAAAAAAAGTGTATGTACTCCTTTCTGTAGTCAGCTGTGACATGCCCATTTCTGGATACCACTTAGTTATCAATGCTACCTCATTATGAACCCTGCCTATACTGTTGCTGCATAATGAAAGCCTGAGGCACTGGAAACGTTACAGTGCTTTCAACAGTATTTCTTTTCTCTGGAGCTCAGTGGTCATTTCGTCTAGTCATTTGGGGATCTCTTGGGATTTTCTTTGTATCTGTAAACCGTTTACTCTGGATGCATGACTTGTACACTTATAAATGAATATAGAACAGCAATTTGTACATCCTTTTACAAATGAAAATAGAGAAAGAAGCTGCCATGGAGTCACCATGGGCCCAGGGACCTGAGATGACACAATCAACAAATCCTCTCATCAAGCCAAGTCTTCCCAGAGAGGGCTGTTTGTGGAGTCACGTAGGCATTTTTGAAAGAATGTGATGCTGTGATTCATCAAGCCTGCAGTGAGAATGGTGCAAGGAGAGGCAGAAATTGCACAGGTTGTTTCCGTTTTAGAAGAATTTGTGAGATCATCCCCTGCGCCCTTTTGCTGTATATGTTAGATGAAAGAAAAATCACCTCTAAATCTAAAAACACACGAAGGCCTCCTTTCTGTCTTAAATTTAAACTTGTTTTTTCTTACCTCAACTCAGGCTTAAGGATAGCCCTGGCTGCTCTTAATTCCGATAAAAAGTGGAACAACTATAGCCACTGCACAGCAGAGGTCTGGGAGATCAAGAAGACGCTCAGGAAGGAATGCATAGAGAAAGACACTTGCAGGAAGAGTAGTGTACTTAATGGAGAGAAACCCAGTGAACACATCTGACACAAGTCCACACTATTGAGAAAGCCCTAAAAAGTGTTCTTCTTGGGCGTACTTTCTGTAGAGCACACAACAGGGCTTGGTGTCCCAGGAGAAGAGAGAAAGACTGTCAGATTATGACGAGAAAGGAATGCACAGACGTGAAGGGATTTTGCAACCTCTCTGCTCTCTGGTGCCCTCAGACCCACAGTGCCATCAGAAGTGTGACCAGGAATCTAGGGTCGGAGCCTGCAGAATACTGAGACAGAACATTCTGACACAGTGTTCCCATAAACACTACAGGGTGCACCTGCAAGGTAAAGCAGCACTGATTTGTTCAGTTTTCCTGTGAATTTGATAAAAAGAAAAGTCAAGTTACAAAGCCTAGATCGTGCGTGTCTTTAGGGATCCTGAGATTACTTGTTTTTTTTTTTTTTTTTTTGTCTTTTTCCTTTTTACCGGTACCAGGGATCGAACCCACGACTGCCTGCTTGCAAGGCAGGCGCTTATGCCGCTGAGCTAAATCCCCAGCCCCGAGATTACTTGTTAAACAAAGCTCCTTGGGCAATTTTGATGCTCAACCAGTTGGGAAGTCACTCTTTATAAGTGAGAATACCTAGCTTTGGAGAAGGTGGGAAGGGTGATATATTATCATGTGTATAATATTTTAGATACAATAAATTAGTCTCCCTTGTTACTGAGTTTGGACTCTATCTTCAGCCACTAAATCCTATGTCCCTGCCCAGGGCTGAGAGGTTGGGAACTCTTGTTCAGTGGCAGCTCAGGGCCTTTTTCTCTGATGTCTTTTATCTCTGATTCAGTGAAACAAAATGCTCCAAACTCTTGCGGATCACTCTAGTCCCAGGAATCCTTTTCTGTGTAAACAGCAAAACATTGTAAGAAGGGCTGGATATTTTGATGGAAGAAAATTGGAGGTTTAGAGGCTTGTTTGAACTGAGTATCACAAAAATGAAAATAAAACATTACAAGGAAAAATCAAGTACAATTCTAAATCCTAATGTTGCTAAGTCTAGTAATATGAGAAAGTGGTCATAATCACATCTCCCCAAAAAGCCTACCTCAATTTGACCACCAGCCCTAATTCTTAGTGTGACTATCTCTGTCTCCATCACAGACACATATCACCTTAAATAATTTATAGCTGGCTTCATGTCACTGAATGAAATTTAGAGATTCTTGGTTCATATGGTTTCTCCTTCCACCTGTCAGCCTATCACATTCTTTTCGTAGTTCCCTTATTCCCAGACCATGTCTTTTATGCTCTAGTCAAAATTTTTTTCATGTACTGAGACTGTTGAAGATTGAGATTAAGGGTGGCAGGCTAATTAATGTGATGGAAGAAGTTTCCAGCCAATCTAGAGGTCAGGTTGTAGTATAAATTCTATTGCATTTTAGCTAACTTTATATAGAAGAGCAAACAACATAGCTGAGTAACTGTAAAAACTGAGTTTGGCCAAAAAGGAAGCTCCAGTAAAATTGGGACATGCAAAATTGGAACAGAGCAGAGGCTTGTTGCTGAAAAGACAAGCATTTTAAAACCCAAGTGGTTTGCATCAGGGACTCTACAAAAGATGCTTTGAACGTATTGAAGGGACCCAAAGATTTCAGATTCAACGGTGGAAAATTGCAAGATTTTGCTTGCTGAAGAAAACTCCAGAGAAACCTCTTGGGAAAAGACACCTCAAGAAACTGGCTTCTTGGGATGCATTTAATCATATTTGTACATCTAGGCACTCAGATTCTCTTGCAATCATAATGAAAAGTTGGCAACTGCTGGAGCAAGTGGCAGGCATTGGCATCTGCCATGTGGTGCTGGTTTAATAGGCCTGCAGAATGCAAGTGTTATGGGCTCATGAGGGATTCCACTACGATTTTCAAAGAAGATCGGGTGCTTTCCTTTCAACAAGACCGTACGTGAAGCTGTGAAAGTGACGTGGAAAGTGCAGTGGAGACCAATAAAGATAGAGACTCTATGAAAATGAAATAGATGAAAGTGAAATGATTGAACAAAGCCAGTCCAAGATAAAAGCCCTGAGAGTTGCAACCACCAGCACATTCCTAAGACAGGTACCCAAGCAATTTGGAGCTTCTGTCTTTTAATCTCTTGCCCCTAATACAAGACTTGAACTTATAAGATTTACTCTCTGCCCTGTTAGGTTTGGTCTATCTTTGGTCCCATTCCTTCAATTTCCCTGTTCCCCATTTTTAAAATGAAAATACTTACCCTGAAATATTGCAGGTTGGCAATGTTTACCTTTCTTTTTGATTTTTACTGGGGCTCACAGCTAACAATGTGCTTTCAATCTCAGAAGAGGCTTTGAACTTGAAAAATTGCCATTGTTAGCACTTTGGAAACTCCGGGAAAGAACTAAATTCATGTTTCAGAAAGAGTTGTACTTGAGTGGTCTGGAAGGTCAGTGGTGAAATGTTATTGGCTTATTTCTACACGTTTCCCCAAATCCACATGTACTCAACATTGACGCTTCTAGAAAGTGGATGATTTACAATTGCATTATATCTGCCTTCTTCTTAAGAGGTGGTGCCTAGTCAGAAGAGGCAGGTCACTGTGGGAGTGACCTGAATTTATTTGCCTTCCTGTTCCTCCCTTTATCTCACTGTGCTTCTTGGCCACTGTGGTATCAGTACGTTTCCTCAACGTCTGGTCATTCCACTGTGCTGTTGACCATGCGAGGACAGAAACATCTACTAATTGTAAGCTAAACTTAATCTCTATTCCTTTAAATTTTAGGTGCTGGGTATTACGTCTCAGTGACTAAGACACTGCTATAATGCATTTTCCCATCATATTTCCTATTTACTCAGATCAAGTCAGTTTCCAAATGTATGTTCTTTTTTCTGTTCCTCTGTTGTGTTTATTGATTTCAAACAGTCTATTTTCTTTTCTCCTTTCTGTATTCTATATTCTACACATTCTGTAAAACAGCTAAGAAATTTCCTTTTTCCTTATGGGCTTCTTAAATCTGCAATAATACAGCCACTGTTCCACTATGGCATTCTTGAACCTTGTGTATTGTTTGCACTTTATTTGCGACAGTGTAGGTCTTCTTTCCCAGATGGCTACCCTGAGAGAAGTTCCACCTTCAAATCACTTGCCAGAGAACAGCAGGGAGCCTTTTGTGAGACCCTCCAGTAGAGGGTGACACTCTGAATCCACTCATTCTTCATTATTTCTTACATTACAGGAAGCTCTCCTGGGCTGTCTCCTGTTCCTGGCCAACTTTGAGATTTCATGCAGTGCCAAATGCCACGATGTAAAACTGGCAAAAGGCGAAGGCAATCAATACCATAGTAAGTATTAGATTTAATATTGATCATGTGATTCAAGTCTGCAAGACAGATAAAAGCCTTTGAGCGACTACAGGACAGTGGGTGAGGGCGAGAAAAGAAATTAGCCAAACAAGGGTCTTCTACCTGAATTGCCTACAAGACAGTCCTGAAATCTAACTGAGAATTAACTAGGGAGCTTTCAATACTTATCAATAGTTGGATTCCGTCTACCAATGTCCTTTTTCAAAGCTGAATATTCACAGCTCAAGTTTAAATGCTATTACTTGTTTCAAAGATGTTTAATACTTTGATGCTCACACCAAACTCAGCGAGTTCTTCTGAACTACCAGGTGCTAATTCAGGAAACCTAACGGTGGATGTCAGAGTTGCTTGAACAGGGTAGTTTGATGAGACTGATGGATCTGGGGTTCTTAGCAGCAGTTCTCAACCTTGGTTCAACAGCAGCATCACTTAGCAAGTGTTCTAAAATCACCACCACTTGGGCTCACACCCCAAGGACATTGATTTCCAAGTTTTGTGATGAGTATTAACATACAGTTTTTATTTGTTTGTTTTTGTCCTGGATACTGAACCTAGGGCCTTTTGCATGCTGAAAATGAGATCTTGCACTGATCCATTCCTGTTAAATACTTTTCTTTTCCAGTCCCCAGAAGTTCATTTCACAGGTTCATGAAGAGTTGAAAACCAAAGTAAAAAGAAACACTGTAAATGTACATGAGTGAAAATTTATGTAGTTACTCCACTAAGAGAAAGTGGATCTAAAATAAGATTAAATACAAAAATGTTGGTTATTCTTAAAATGTGGGCTTTAAAATAAATGTAAAAGGCTTTGTGTTTGTTTTGGAAAATGCTACCAGTTACAAACTTTTCGGTACTCTATTTTAACTGAGGGCAAACTGAGAGCTCTGTACTACATGACAATAGAAATTACCAGTCGTCACACAGAAGGGCTGGGCCCCCATGTCCTCACTTCCGTGTTCCAGTTGCCTGATTTAGGGACTTCACTGATGTCGCTTTGTGGGTTTTCAGTATGCAGGTATTTCCTCGAAGCCATATTCAAGACGAACTCAACTTGGAGGAACAATAAATGTGAAGATTGTTCTTGCTATGAAAATGGGATGAAATGTTGTAGTATGTGAGTATCAGTCTCATCTCATCCAACAGAAAACTTGGCTATCTCTTAAGAGAAGCTCTCTCCTTATTGTCCTGAAGCAACATGCTTGAGTGCTGTAAGCTAATTTTTTCAGCAATGATTTTTTTGGCACAACATTTTTGGTGCTTCCTTTCTGATAAAATTGAAACACTTCAAATTGTTCATAGGCATTGTTTATTCTGATTTTCTCTGTAGTTATAGATAAGAGAAGCCTTCCATATTCATGCCACAGCCTATTGAGAATTCCTCTATCAGATTGGTTGCTCCACTTCTTTTAAATTCAGAGTAATTCAAGTCTTCTGTCATGTGCAAACACGGAAAATTGTTTCTGAAAATGAAACAAGTTGACATTTAGTCCAATTTCCAATAGAATCTTTAATAGTACCTGAAAACTCATAACAAGCCCTTTACTATCTACATTTTTATGAACAATCTGTCTTTTGAGCTCTGACCAGAATCACCCATCATTTCTGCACAGAACATTGTGCTTCTCTGAGTCACATGTGCCAGGCTTCCTGAACACTTCTCACAATCTTTTTCAAAGGAATCTAAATCACATGTTTAAGTACTATCACAGCAACAATCCCTCATATGGAATTTTCCTTATAATGACTTTAACATTACTGAAATAATATGACTAATATCTTAAAGGAATAGAATCCGATTTTCATTCACAGTTTTAAGGGTCAATTGCATGACTGTCTGTCTCCAAGGCATATTTGACGTGGTTGAAGTGGCTAGTGAAGGAAAGGTACTCCCTTCTGATTGGCCAAAAGAGATTGAGGGAGGGAAAGTGAGGGGGAAGAAGCAAGAGAAGCAAAAATAAAATAAAATAAAATAAAAACGCCAAACACAAGAATATAACTTTCCAAGTCACATCCCTAGTGACACAATTTTTCAAGAAGACTCTATATTCAATAGCAAGTTAGCTCTTAATTCATTAATGAGATAATTCACTGAAGAGTCTATGGCCCTTGTGATAAATATTATCTCCCAAAGGTACAGCATCTGAATATCATAGCTTTTTAAAAATTTGTATTTTACATAAATTATGATCCCATTCATTATAGGGAATTTGTATATCTACGTATCTTAATTCTCCTTCTTTTCCCATTCCCCTCTAATTCCTTCAACTTTTCTTCTCTTCTCCATTTACAAAATCGTTGTTTCCATGTATTCCTTTGATTCTTTTCTTTTAAACATTTTTCTCTTTCTTTCCTTCCCTCAATTATTCCTCTTCCCATTTGAACATACTTATAATTCTCAATATGTATCCTCATTTTTTCTCATTTACACTTTGGTTTTCTCATATAAGACAAACAAGGAGATATTTAAACTTGTATCTCATTTAGTTCACTTAAAATTATGGTCTTAATGGGCATCCATTTACCTAAAATTGACTCAGGTTTATCCATTTATGGCAAAGCAAAAATCCATTGCCTATAAATATCACTGTTTCTTTAGCATTCATTTTTTGATTGGCATATTTTAGATTCAGCTATTATAAATTACGTGCTTCAGTAAACATTGGTATGCATATATCACTGTGGCTGCTTTTAACTCTTTTGGGAAGATACCCAGAAGAGGAAGAGCTGGATTAAGTGGAACCTCTAGTTTTAGATTTTGAGGAATCTCCATAATGATTTCCATAGTGTTTGTACTTATATTAACTGCCAATGACCAAAGAGAAGAATTCCTTTGCCCCCCATAGGCTTGCCAGCATTTGTTATTTGTTGATTTCTTTTTTACTTTAAAAACAAAAAAATAAAAGTGAAGATTTCAAAACAAAAAAGTGAAAATTTCAAAATTAAGCAATAGGAAATTAACATTAGTTAATATATTGCATATTGCTATTTTAAAAGTAATTGTTCAGATTACAAAATTTAGGCATGAAAAATGATCAAGCAATCAAACAGTGACAATAGGCATTCTTCTGGAATGTGCTGGAAACTCATTAGTATTTTATGTTGCATTTCTCAATTGACCAGTGATGTTGAACATTTTTTTTCACTTGCTGTTTGTACTTCTTCACCTGAGAAATGTCTATTCATTTCATATGTCCATATTGGGATTTTTTCAACCCAGTCTTGTCCAGTGGAGAGTTGACTATCACTTAAGAGCTGCTTTTCTTCTGACTCAAAATCCTATCCTCAAGTCTATTTTGTAGGGCAGCTTAAGAGTCACAGTAAAGCAGAGACAAAGCTTTCCCTTTTCTCTTCAGGTACAGGTACAGGATCCCAGACTGTCAACATCCTCAGTAAAGATTCTAGGTGCTGACATTCAGCACATTCCTGTACTGATATCCTCACATGATCGTCACTGATTCTCCAGAGTTTAAATAAGGATTGTCTCTGGTTGTGGTGGAGGGGATTACTTTTTAGTTTTGTATCTTGTACAGATCAAGTGCTATTTGGACATTCAGTGTTATACAACATCCCCACCCATCATCCTCACGGTCCTCTTTCCTTGCACAACTAGAACTTTGAATCTATCCAACCACCACTCCTCTGGTACCTATCCCTCAGCACTTGACACTCACAATTTTTGCTTCTTCAAGTCTCACAACTTTAGGAGCCTCATATTTCCATCCATGGAACATTTGACCTGTTGAGCCTAAGTTACTGAGCTCAGCATGAATATCCCCAAAGTATATTCATGCTACAATGTGCTAGAATGACTTTCCAATTTAGTGCCTCTAAATTGCATGGTATGGAAGGACATTCTATGCGTATCTATTCATTTGTTTCCTGGCTGATGGCATGCTTCCAACTCAATTTTATGTCTATTTAAGTACTCACTGTATCTATTCTTCAATGATTATGTGCACACAGGCCCTAGAGGACAGGAAACCCTATCTGATATTTGGATGCTGTTCTACAATTTGTCTTGATAATCACAGTAGTCTTTACCTTGAAGGTTTCCAAGAACAGGAGTGCTATAAACACAGTCACAGGGAAGATATGTGAAGTAGCAAGGAGTGATCAGTAGTGTAATTTGTCCCATAAACCCTGTATTTCTTTACTGCTTGTGTTGATATCATAGAAGCTAAAGGTTCAGCAGAGGTTTTCTCTTGGTTTTCTATGGATTACAGTATTGTCGATTTGGGGGATAGAACACAGATATTTGCAGCCATGTCAAAATGAAGCACCCCAATCCGAACCCTCAGTCCCTTTGATGTCTTCATGTTAATCAGTCCTTGCTTATAGTATTTTCCAAGAATAGTAGTTATTTTATTTACTTTATCTTTGTGGTCCTGGAGATGAATCCAAGACTCATTCACCTAGGCTAGTGTTCAATAAAAGAAACTATGCTGGCCCAAAGGACCTTCTGTGCCAACCAAAGCATTGGTATCACATTGAATTTACCAAATTCACCTCTGAATGCAGCCAAAAGCCTCAGGAAAGTGACTTGTCAGTGTCAATGAGTAGAGAAGTCAGTTACACCAAAAGAATGTGTGAGTCCTATGGGGCCTGATGGATCTGGGAATTTCTGTGCACGTTTATTGAGAGGATGTGTAGTTAGTGCACAAGGGGGCAAAAAGGAGTCTGATGTCCAGATTTGGGCTAGTGCTGGAGCAGCTTCTCACTCACTGGTGTCTAACCATTGCCTTATACAGCTATATTTTTAATTTCTGGCTCCTGAAATTTGACCTTATCTTGTAGAGTTGATGATTGCCTCTGTAGTGCGGTCCTGTCCAGAGCCTGTCCTGGGGCTCAACCATTCCTCCCTCACAAGAGAGCACTCCTGCCTAGCTGTCCAACTGACTCCTATTTATTAGTGCTCAGTCATCCTGATTTCCTCTGCGACTCCCGGGAGTGACATACAGAAATGAGTGCTGGTTCTGGAATGAGGTGAAAAGATCCTTAATGCTGAGATCAAAGTGACCAGAGTCTGACTTTCCTTGTCCTTTTGTAGTAGCTGTGCATCTTTGGGGATATTTCTCAGTCACTCTAAAGCTAATATTCTTCACCACTATCTTCTCATGACTTTTCATTTTTGTTGTGGGTATGTCACAGTATTTATTTGATTAAGCAATTTTAGGACTATATTTGGACCCATACCCCACATGCAGGACACCCCTTAGATGCCCATGTATTCAGTGTGCTTGGCCCAGGCCCAGCTGAACCCAGGCTGAGCTCCAAGAAAGTAGTAAGGGAGACATAGAACCAGCATCATCTACCAGTGAACCCTGGGCATCTGATCACCTAATGTCTGTGACATCCCCCCAATTTCTCTGGCCTCTTTGCTCTCCCCTGCTTGTCTAAGTGGGATTAGATATGCTGTACCTGCAACTTGATCCTGCACATGGATAGAAGCCTTATGCATGTTGATTACCTGTAAATCAACATGTAAACAAGTAGGCATCTTTCCATAAATACAGTAATTTATTACTAATTATTTTCTATTGAATAATTATAAATAATTATCTTCTATTAAGTAATTATTGTCTATTGAAAAATCTTATTTTCTATTGAATAAAATTATCTACTTAACCGTCTGCAGATTTATAACTAACTGGTGTTGAGATCATCCACATCATTGTTTAACCATTTTCACTCTGTCTGATCCTTTTTGCAGTACATTTTGTTGGTTTGTATGTGTGACACTTTGGATTGATCCCAGGGCTTCTTCCATGGTGGCCTTTAGCATTCAACCCTTCCTCCCCCATGTTCTGTGTAGCTGAAGTAGTTGGTGTACTCCACAATTCTGAATTTTCTCCAAAAGTCTGTAATCACCAAAGATAAGTGGTATACCTTTTAATCTATAATTTCTGTACATATTTCCTGCCCATGTTGAAATCCTTTAATCTACTTTCTGTCTCAGTCATTTTGCCTCTTCTAGATCATTTGTGTCTCTAGATGCCCAGAAAGTTTGTCTGCTGTGTGGGCTCATTTCTGTCATTAGTAGTCTGAAGTCCACCCTGGTACCACGTTACATCTTCTTGACTCCATGCCATAGCAACACCCCTGGGCACTGACACCCTACATTTGGTTTATTCATTTGAGTCTGGAGGGACTTAACAACACCTGCACTTTCATTTATCATCACTATTGTTGGGGACATAAAAGTTTGCTGTGTCTCTGCTTTACTGTCTTTATGGCTCTACCTAGGAGTGGACTTGTTGGGCAGGGGAATTGTGGGCCTCACACCTGAGAAACTACTGAGGTATCTTCCTTTGTGGCTGTACACTTTCACATCCAAGCTGGAAGCAACCATTTCTGAAATTAAAAGTGCTTAAATGACATGGTTTTATGCGTACAATATATTTACATTAATTAATGGACTTTTGTAATGTACAGCAAATAATCCTCTTCTAGTTATAGTTCC